CTGACGTCAGCTCACGCATTGCAAAGGCCAGAGCTGCCTTCTTGAACCTGCGCATCTTTGGCGACAGAGGGAGTTTCCCTCCGTCTGAAAGGCCGTGTATACAAGGCCACAGTGAGGGCCGTTCTGCTCTATGGTAGTGAGACTTGGCCCCTTCGGTCTGAAGATCTGAGGCGCCTTCAAGTCTTTGATCATCGTTGTCTGCGAAGCATTGCTGGTGTCGGATGGCACCAGCGTGTCCGCAACGATGATGTGCGTAGGCGAGTACTAGGTGTGATAATCATGCTAGCTCCCTAGAACAACAGATAGCACTGAATAAGTTGCGTTGGCTCGGGCACGTGCTACGTATGCCTGGTCACCGCTTACCTAGGAGGGCCTTGTTTAGTCTACCAGGTGTAGGGTGGCGCAAGCTCGAGGTGGACAGAAGTTGACTTGGCAGCGGGAAATGAAGTCACTGACGACCAAACTGGGTGCCGTTGGTCCGTCTCGCCTTCCGGGCTGGAGTCCACGTGACTCGCCTTGTGCTTGGCTCGAGACTTTACAGGACATGGCTCGCAACCGACACCAGTGGCGCGTCTGCTGCCGTCTCCTAATTGGATTGCCTGTTTAAAGTGTGTTTGGTGCTGAGTTATCTGCGGGGTAATGGCTGATTATGACGCGTGGCAGTGAAAGCCGCAAGGAAGCTGTCTCGCCGATGCCGCCTTATCTTTGCACGATAGCCAGCTGTTTGTGACGGTATGTTGTCTACACAAGGTGTAGGCGCCTTGACCCTGAATGTTTGCTTAGGGCATTAAGGTTTTCAGGTAAGTCCCCTTCTCTCCCTCTTCTTATTCTTTATTTCATAGGTCCTCTTGGTTGTATGGCAGCGAAGCATCAGTTCAAATGGCTGCTGCACTGCTGTTGATGCTGATGATGACGACACTTTCAAAGCGACTGTGGATAAGGAATCGGGGCCATTATCTTTTTTTAGCTTCAGTCATGTGTTCCCTGTAAACACTGATATGGCCAACTAATATGGGAAATGTGGGGATAGAACGTAGAGAGAAAGTGTTTGCTGATGATGAGCTAAAATCTGCGTTGAGTTTGCCCACATCCACAGTACTTAGTGAGTAACTAGCATATTTTCCGGCTACTGCGGTTTCCTTCAACGGTTTCAGTGTACAGACTAACCTTTTTATCTTGGCTGATTACATATATATGTATGATGAACTATGATCCGAGCACC